GATGTGAACTTCAGGTCCCTGTCGCTGATGATCGCCGCGGGGATTCCTGTGCAGTCGCACGACTGTTGGGATGAAGAGGCGCGCAGTTTCTTCGGCTGTGATTGTCGTACGATACGGTGCGAAGTGCGCCATCTTCGTGAGGCGATCGACGACGACGAGAACCGCGTCGTTGCCGGATGGCCCGGCTGGCAGCCCCGTGACGAAGTCCATCGTCACCTATTGCCACGGTCGTTCGGGTGGCTCGAGGGGTTGCAGCAGTCCAGCTGGCCGCTGACGTGTCGATTTCATGGCTTGGCACACCCTGCATGAGGACACATATCGCTGCACGTCGTTAGCAAAACCAGGCCAATAATATTGACGGTGCAACAGCTTCTGGGTTTTATCAACCCGAAATGTCCGGAAAGGTTAGAATCATGGACCTCCTGAATGAGGAGTTCACACAGCAGTCGGTAAGCGGGAACCCAAATCCGGTCAGTTCCGGCCTTTAGGTACTAGTTCCCCTTCAGCGTCGTCGCCTGCCGGGATCATTCGGGGATCACCAGTGGACCTCTGACACCCCCCCGCACTGGGATGCCCGAAGTGCACACACCGGGATTCGAACCCGAGACCTTCGCTCTGATACCATGTCAGAATCCCAACCACTAGACCATTGGGATAAAATGGCTCGTTAAGTAGCGGGTCAGTGCGCCCATAACCCCCCAGGACAACGAGCCTGTAGCCCTTCCCTAGGATCAATCGGGGATCATCAATGGACCTCTGATAGAATTGTCCCGTAAGTAGCGGGTTCGAATGGGTGATGAGCACTGCAGCGGATTGAACTGTCGGTCGAGTAAGGGCATCGGCGATGTTATTCGCCCCTTTCTTGTACGTGATGCGGTAGGTGAAATGAATCTCCATGTAGTCCAACCACCGAATTTGTCGCGGGTTGAGGTTGGGCTGAGCTCGCAGGTACTGTAGGGACTTGTGGTCCGTGCGAACAGTGACTTCAGCGCCTACCAAGTAGCAACGCCACAGTTTGAACGCGTGTATTATGGTGAGCATCTCCTTGTCGTGAATCGGGTAGTTGCGCTCAGCTGCCAGCAGTTTGCGTGACTCGTGGGCGATCGGCTGCAACCCGTTCCCGAAATCCTGGAGGAGTACAACTCCGATGGCGAAATCTGAGGCGTCGGTGACGACTTCGAACGGCTTCGATGGGTCGGCGATGCGCAAAACCGGAGGGGAAACGAGAAAATTCTTCAGCTCCTGAAAAGCCGCCTCAGCTTCCTCCCCCCACACGAAATTCCTGTCCTTGTGCAGCAGGTCGGTCAGCGGGCTGGTTATCCCCGCCATATTCGGGATAAACCGCCTGACGTAATTCACGAAGCCCAGAAAACTCTGAAGTTCCGTGATGTTAGTCGGGGACTTCCACTCATGAATAGTCTTGATTTTAGCCGGGTCAATTTTGATGCTGTCGCGTGAGATGATGTGCCCCAAAAATCAGAATGTCGTCCAAATAGACGATCACACACTTGTCGAGAAATTCCCGGAAAATCCTGTTCATGGTCAGTTGAAATGTTGAAGGCGCGTTTGTGAGGCCGAACGGCATCACTGTGAATTCGTAGCTTCCGTAGTGGGTGCGAAACGCGGTCTTGTGACAGTCGTCGGCGAAGACCCAAATCTGGTGGTAACCACCACGCAAGTCGATTTTCGAAAAGTAGCGAGCACTGCGAAGTTGATCGATGAGGTCGTCGGTGCGTGGGATTGGGTAGCGAGATTTGATGGTCGCGATAGTCGATACAGATGCGAAGCCCGCCATCCTTTTTCGGCGTGAACAGGATCGGGGCTGCGAAGGGGGATGTACTGGGTCGAATAAACCCTTCTCCAACAGTCCCTCAATTTGTCGTCGCAGCTCCTCGAGTTCTGGTTGGGTCAACCGCCACTGTGTACGAACAATCGGCTGCGCGCCAGGCTCCAGCTGGATTTTGTGGTCCTCGGGGCGTTCGGGTGGCAGTCCAGGTGGCAGATCGTCGGGGAAGATGTCCGGGTACTGTCGAATCAGCTCCGCTAAATCAGGTGGTACAGTTGCGCACAGCTTCTCGATGTCCTTTCCGTCGATGTCGGTTGCCAACTCGCGCAAACATACGGCGAACAGCTGCGCGCCTCGGTTGAAGTGGCGAGCAATAGTGATAGCTTTGACGCACGGGGCTTGGCGAGCAATAGTGATAGCAATAGTCAGGTGTCCTTGCAGGCAATTTAATGAGCCCCTCGTGCTTGTTGATGCTGCACGATCCCGTTGTCCAGTCGATGACGGGGTTGTGCCGTTGCAGCCAATCACGTCCGAGCAGCACATCGCAGCCGTCCAACGTTGTCGCGAGAAACTTCATGCTGAAGCCGAAATCGTCGCCGCATTCGATCCGCACCGTCCGTGTTTCTTCCAAAATCGCCAGAGGCGTCCCATCCACGAGGCGAGCGTCGATTTCGGGCAGACACCTGTCAAGTTGCAGCTTGCATTTTTTTGCTGTCGCTAAGTTGAAGAGGCTGTGGCTGGCCCCTCCGTCGACGAACATTTTCAAGTAATTTTTTAACACTTTGCCAACGACCAGCACAGGGTGATCCACATGGTTATCCCCGTTATTCGGCCGAGTGCGATCGATTGCATGAATCGGAACCACGACTCGGTGGGGATGATGGTGTTCGGGCGACAGAGCACAGTCAGTAAGGGGCCCGTCTGTTAGTGACTCTTCCCATCTCCCGACTCTTTCCCGTCGTTCCTCTTCGCCGGCGTTTTCTCGGGGCAGTCTGCATCTTCCCGCACTTATAACACAACCATGTGTAGGAGCGGTCTGGTGCATGGACTCCGTTGATCGTGGCCCGTTGGGTCTGGCCGCGAAAACGATTTCCCTTCCGGAAACTCGACCTCGCTTACTGCATCAGCGCGTCCGTGGATTCTGCCAATCGTGCTGCTTCCAGGAACGATGTCGGGCGGCATCGGCGCACCTCATACTGTATCTCGTATTTAAGGCCGTTGACGTACTTGTCTAACCGCTCCGCTTCCGACATGTCGTCCACTTGGTCGGTGAGGCCCATGAACGTTGCTGTGTAGTCTTGGACAGATGCCAACTGCGACCAGGTATGCAGCTTCATGCGAGCTTGTTCCGAGCCGGATATGTGCTCGAATCGATCTCGTAAGGCTGCGCCCCACTCCTTCCACGTGCGTATCTTGGTCACGCCGAATATCGGTGCTGCCACTTGATTAACCGTCGTTGAAGTCCCGTCTCTCAGAATCCCAACCACTAGACCATTGGGATAAATGGGCTTGTTTCAGTAGCGGGTCAGTGCGCCCATAACCCCCCAGGCAAATGTGCCTGTAACCCTTCCCTAGGATCGATCGGGGATCACCAGTGGACCTCTGACACCCCCCCGCACTGGGATGCCCGAAGTGCATACACCGGGATTCGAACCCGAGACCTTCGCTCTGATACCATCTCAGAATCCCAACCACTAGACCATTGGGATAAAAGGGCTTGTTTCAGTAGCGGGTCAGTGCGCCCATAACCCCCCAGGCAAATGTGCCTGTAACCCTTCCCTAGGATCGATCGGGGATCACCAGTGGACCTCTGACACCGTCTGCCGCATGTGTCACACCTATCGGGGTCCCCGTGTCCAAGGTTCGGCGCCACCACTCAAGCGCTGCGCCTCGAAGGAGAGAAACCGCGTAATTAATACGCGTGGCATCGTCGTTCACGCCTGCTGCAGTGAAGAAGACTTCAACGCCGAAAAGCCACCCCTTCACTGTAGTAGTCTTGTCCATAGGGTTGAACGGGGGCGGGTTGACGGGTTTAATCTTAATCGTTGTTACTGCAATTGGCGTCGCTGCCGCTCGCTGCCTATCCTCTTCTTCGAAATCACGTGTGAGCGCGTCCAACGGGTTGCTCACCGCTTGACTGTTGCCCTCGCCTTCTTCATCGGGCGACTCCTGACGGGCTTCACCTCGCGTCTGGCGTAGCTCGGCGTTTTCTCCTCGTAGTGTTGTCACTTCTGCCGATAGAGTCTGCACTGTTGCCTGTAGCTCTGCCATTTGCGCCAGCATCTTGTTCAATGTCTCCTGGTCCATGAGTCGCACGCTTCGTCTGGTGGGCAGAGGGGTATCCGTGGCCCTCCGGTGAGTGGAAAACACGAACTATCGGAGTCGGGCAGGATTGAATTAACAAACCTTGCAGCCAACCGTCGTGTTGTCCACTATACCGACCACACCCGTGCCACCAAACTACCCTCGAAAAGCGGGGTGAACTAGGAAAGTAGCTCTGATACCAGGTGTTATGAGTTGTTAAAGAGAGTGCGCGGAATAACGAATAACGAAGATGTGACTCAATGAACTGGCAATACAATGAAGGTACGCGCTAATATAGTGGGCCAACCTAGCTAGGCGGGAACCTCGGGAACACGAGGTTGGGTGCAGGTTGGGCAAAGGAAAGGCCGAAGGCGACGCGAGGTTGCTTCGGCAGCAAGCGAAGTGGCCGAACGTGCACTTCCGAAAGTTGGGGATGTACGCGGTTGAGTAAACCCCTGTAAGGAAAAGGGTTTTTCCTTACAACTAGAGCCGTTTGCACCAGTTGCTCCTGCCATCCAACGTACCAAACCAAATTGGACGGAGCGGCATCAAACTTGAAACACGCCCTCGACCTCCTGTTTCAGAAATCAGGACTCAACACATCAATGCTCATGATGATCATAGGGATAACAACACTTGCTTCTGTCTGCTCCTGTTTGCTCAACCACCTCGCCATGCCGTCCGTCATTGCCGTCAGGCGAAATCAGGGCCAGGATCTGGCTGTCCGGTCCGCCTAGTTTAATTTCCTTGAACACTTCGTTGGCGTGCTTTCTCGCTAGCTGTACAACGGCTACCGACGAGTTTAGATTGACTAAGTATTAGTAGTTGCGACATTTGTTATTTAATTATTGCCTGATCTAAGGCGTACCTCGCATTGTCGTCTCCGTGGTTCTTATCGGGCATGGAAGCCATGGCTTCGCAGCGTAGCTTATCTTCCGACGACACGAAAGCGACTATGTCGTCTCAGCCTCACCCCTCGTCGAACCAACAAAATGCCGACCCTAATGGCTCGAATGTCTCGCGTGGCTCGAACCGCTCGAACGGCTCGAATGATTCGAACGGCTCTCCGATCGTCGTGCTGTCGTACCGTCAAGCGGCGCGTCTTGTCGCCATGTCGACCGTGGTTCTCGTGCTGCTGCTCGCCGCTGCCTTCCACCTCGGCCGAATGTCCATCGGAGAAATCGCAGCCGTCGATTCGTCACACCTGAACAATCTCCCCGCAGTCTCGTTAAGCGATGTCTCAACATTATTCTCCCCTGAAACCCCTCGGCGTCGCGTGCTGAGATCCCGCGGTCGTCCCAGACCGGCCAAACCCGCCAAAAAAACTGCTCCCGCCGAAAATCCTCCTCCCGCCGAAAATCCTGCTCCCGCGGAAAAGCCTGCTCGCGCGGAAAAGCCTGCTCCCGCCAAAAGACGTGCTCCCGCCAGAAAGCCTGCTCCTCGCAAGAAAAAGCCGCAAGCAGAGGTAAGAGTAGAGGTGAAGGAGGAGGCGAAAGAGGAGATTAAGAGCGGCGGAGATATCAAGGAGGTGGTTGAGGTCCCCGCTGATCAGGCTGCTGCTGCTGACGACGACGCAGCAAAAGCAGCAGAAGCAGCGGCTGCTGCGGCTGCCGCTGCTGCGAATGGTGCTGGTGGGGAAGGGGGAGGGGGTGCTATTGGTGGTGAGGCTGGCGGATCAGCTGCTGCTGCTGATTCTGCTGGTGAGCCTGCCACGCCTGCTGCTACGGTTGAGGCTACTACAGCTGCTGGTGCGTCAGACGCCGCAAGCTCCACATCACCAGCCGCCACGTCAGCTCCTGCAGAGTACACGTCAGCGTCTGCTGACGGAGCAGCGATCCCCGCAACGACGGTTGACCCAACGACGTACTACACGGCGGAGGGGTTGCAGCGGCTGCAGGACCCGTGTGGGGGAATTGGCGGTGTCAGCGGGAATCCCGGTACCAGCGGCAATCGGAGGTGCTACAATCGGTGCCACAGGCGAACGCGGTCGGGGTACTGTGTGAAGGAGCTGCTTTCGCTCTATGATGAAGCGTACAGGTGAGCCCAACGAAACGGTCAGGTGCTTTCTATACCTTGAAGTTGCCGCAGTGTTCAAAGGCGAACGAGGTCGGGGTACTGCGTCAAGGAGCTGTGTCAAGGTCGGGGTACCTGACGCATTTTCGTTGGGCTCACGTGTACTGCGTCAAGGAGCTGCTTTCGCTACATGACGAGGCGTGCAGGTGAGCCAAACGAAAGGTTCAGGGAGCTCCTATACCTTCAGATTATCGCAGCGTCGCCTCTACAGGAATACAGGGCGGGTTACTGTGTCAAGTAGCTGCTTCTCTCTCACTCTATGACGAAGCTTACAGGTGACTCCAATCCAACTAAACGTTCAGGTGAGCTTGAAGGTGTAAGAAGCGGTACTTTTTACACCTTCAAGTGAGCTTGAGAGCACCTCTTCATTGCCGTTCAACCTGCCACCCCACGCTCCTTCCCCACCTCCCTTGAACACCCCCTTCTGCACCCACGTCTTCCCTCAGCCCACCGTGGCCGGCACGGGTGGACCTGGTGGTGCGAAGCTATGAGTCGGACAACTTCTTCCTCACGACTCCCCCTTCCCTGCTCCCCCTTCCCCCCCATCTCCCCCATCTCCCCCATCTCCCCCAACCCCCCCTCGGCCCTCAGCCCTCTCTGGCCCGCGCGGATGGACCTGGTGGTGCGCAGCCACGTGTCGGACAACTTCTTCCTCCGCCCATCCCCACCCCCTTCCATCCTTCCAACTCCCATCCTTCCATCCTGCCCCCCTCAGTCCCCTGTGGCCCGCACGGGTGGACCTGGTGGTGCGCAGCTACGTGTCGGACAACTTCTTCCTCACGGCTCCCCCTTCCCTGCTCCCCCCATTCCCCCCAACTCCCCCGCGCTCCCCATCCCTCAGTCCCTTGTGGCCGGCACGGGTGGACCTGGTGGTGCGCAGCTACGTGTCGGACAACTTCTTCCTCACGGCGTTCCTCTTTGCCAGCATCGAGCAGATGTGGCCAGCTGGCATTGGTGACGTCATCCTGGTGCTGGATGAGAGCGATCGCCACGTGGAGGACATCGTGCCGCCCTGGGTCAAGGTGAGTCAACGCGGGTCAAGGTGGGTCAAGGTGGGTCAAGGTGGGTCAAAGTGCGTCAAAGTGCGTCATGATGGGTGTCCCTTGCACTCTCCCAGGGTCAAGGTGAGTCAACGCAGTCAATGCAGGGCAAGGTGGGTCTATGCAGTCAATTATGGTCAAGGTCAACGCCCTCCCATGACAGGCCTTCAAGTCCTACCTTCCCTCCCCTGCCTTCCCCTCGCGTGTCCTTCCCCTTTCCCTCGAGTGCTCACCAGATCTACTATGAGAAGAACTACTTGGGCCTGACACCCAAGCTAGTGCAGCACTGAAATTGTCGCTAAACCTTTTCCCTCTCCCTTCCCTTTGTCGTGCTACCTTCCCCTTTCCCTCGAGTGCTCACCAGATCTACTATGAGAAGAACTACCTGGGCCTGACACCCAAGCTGGTGCAGCAGTGGAGCTACCTGTGGGCCGACAACTACACCACCGCGCCCTACATTGCCATCATAGATGATGACGTCATCTTCAACCTCAAGGTGAGCTCCTGCTGGACTGCTGGAGTGATGATCTTCAACCTCAAGGGTCGGACTGCTGGAATGATGATCTTCAACCTCAAGGGTCGGACTGACACTTTCACCACAACCCTGTACATTGCCATCATAGACGATGACGTCATTTTCATTCAACCTCAAGGTAAGTGCGCACACACACATGCTTGGTGCATTCGTGCACGTGTGTGCGCGCGCATCCGAGTCCTGACCTGACGTCTCCTCCCAACCCATTCTTTTCTCTGCAACTACTCCATGAGTCATTCCTTCCCTCCCCCAAACCGCCACCCCTCGCCACCCCCCCCCCCCCCCCGCTACCAGGTGACACCCGGGCTGCTCTTTAATTTAACAGACGGCAAGCCGTTTATACTCGGCAGCAAGAGCACGCAGGGCAAGAATGATAGAATTGGAACTGAACTGATTACTTGATAAGGAAGGCACTAGGCTTTAAGTACAAACAGGGTTGGGTTGAGCAAAGCTAGGGAAAGGATGGGATGGGAATCCTAGCAAATCTCGAATTGGTGAGTTGGCAGATTTGCAAGATTACGAGGGAATCCCAACCAGATAGGGTTGTGATTACAAATCTACACCCAACCTACAAAGTAACCTAACCGATATAGAATTTAGTACAAAGTGTTGACTGACTATTTCCAACACACCCCCTAGGCTGACAACACTTCAGCCACATGGCGGCCCAACACCCATGGACGAGAGGAGGCGGTAGTGGTCTTGGCGAACAAGAGACTTAGTTAACAAGTCAGCAAGGTTGCAGTCGGAGGCAATGTGTTCAGCCTTAAGCTGCTCGCGCTGCACAAGCTCACGAAGAAAGTAGTGACGGACCTCAATGTGCTTGGTGCGGCCGTGGATGACGGGGTCCTTTGTGAGATGTATGGTGCTCTCGTTGTCACACCAAAGCGTTGGGGCTGGTTGAGGATACCCAAGTTCTGCCAGTAAGAAGGAGAGCCAACGAGCCTCTTGGGCAGCCATGGTCCCGGCATACAGCTCTGCCTCACATGTAGACAGTGAGACGGAAGACGACCGAGTGGAGCGCCAACTGACAACCCCACTGCCAAGGGTAAAGCAATACCCTTGGGAAGAGCGCCGATCACTCTGGTCATGAGCATAGGACGAGTCACTGTACCCCTCAAGGCGAACAGGGGAAGAGCCGCCAAAAGTGAGCACATAGTCCTGTGTGCCTTTGAGATAGCGGAGGACCCGCTTGGCGGCAGACCAGTGGTGGCTCGTGAAGCGACCAGGTGCAACGTAGCGAGACAGGACACCGACTGGATAGGCCAAGTCTGGTCGAGTGCACATCATCGCGTATATGAGGGAACCGACGAGCTCAAGGTAAGCCTCATCACAAGGCTCAGGTGAGGGAACAGAGGGTGCAGTGAGTTGGTGATGTAGAGAGAGTGGGGTGGGCATTGAAGTTGCTTCCTGCATCTTGAACCTGGTCAGAACATTGTTGATGTAGAACTTTCTGCGATAGGATGATGGTGCGGGCCGTGCGATCACGTGTGATTTCCATGCCCAGATAGTTCGTCAGCTTCCCAAGATCCTTCATGGCCAGCTTCTCACCAAGTGCGGTTTTGACTGCTGCCAGCTCAGTCTGATCCTTGGTGACAAGGATCATGTCATCGACATGAACCAAGATGAAGAAGCGGGATGGTGTTGCTCGGATGAAGAGGCTGGGGTCAGAGGTGGATGGGTGAAAGTCGAGGGACCCTAAGGTGCTCTTGAGCTTGTTGTGCCATTCCCGGGGTGCTTGCTTGAGGCCATATAGTGCCTGGTGGAAAGGGAGCTGGAAATCCTTCGGGCCGCTCCATGTAGATTTCCTCTCGAAGGATCCCTTGCAGAAACGCAGAGGACACATCCATGCAGTCAACCTCCATGTCATCTCGAGCGGCAACATCGAGAAGGGTGCGCAGTGTGGGAGGTTTGGCGGTGGGAGAGAATGTCTCAAAGAAGTCCAGTCCATGCTTTTGGGTAAATCCCTTGGCACAGTACCGGGCTTTGAAGACGGAAAACTCGCCTGGAAGTTGTTTCACCCGAAAAAACCCATTTTCCCTTCACAATGTTGACGCCGGAGGGAGCAAAGACATCTGTGAAAGTTCCTGTGTGAATGAAGGCCTCACACTCTGCGACAATGGCCCCTAGCCACTGAGCGGCGTGAGGACCAGAAACTGCTTCAGCATAGGTGAGAGGTGTGGGGATGGAGGGGTTGTCCGAGAAGTTGAGGGTGGGAGATTTTGCGATATCTGGAAAGAGGGAGCAGAGTGCGTGTACGGCTGAGTCAATCTCAATCAACTCCTCATGTCTGTCCACAAGAAGGGAGGGCATGAGCAAATAATCACCCCCGACAGGAGGATTGAGAGAGACACGAATGGAAAGGGAAAGAGGCTTGGGAGCTTTGCGCGAGCGGGTGCGATCAGCGATGGGGGAGGGAGGCGGAGCTAGAGGAGGGGAAACAGCAGGTGGAGTGGCAGCATCAGGAACAGCAGCTGGATCTGGAGCAGGAGCCAGATCAGGAGCAGGAGCTGGATCAGGAGGAGGAGCAGCAGCAGGAGGACGGCGTTGGTAGGTTTTGAGAGGAATCGGCTCGAGGGCGGGTTGGAGCGGGGGAGACTGCGTGGTGCTGGATGGGGAAGCGGGTGACGGGGGGCCGAAAACTGTGGAGGGAGCGGGAAGAGGAGGAGATGGAGTGGTGGCAGGAGGAAGGCTGTCAAAGTCAGCCCAAGTAAGAGAGGGAGGCGGAGGAGAAGGAGAAACTGTGGAGGAGGGGTAGAATGGGTGGGATTCATTGAAGAAAACATCTCGGGTGCGATAGAGTTTGTTGGTGGGAGGATGGAGGAAGAGGTAGTCTGGCGAGTCCGAGTTGTGCCCGAGGTACACGCATGTGATTGTTTTCGGAGCAAGCTTGCCGCCAGCTGCGCGACGGGCTTGGGAGTTGAGGAGGACATAGGAAGTGCACCCCCATACACGAAGAGGGCGGACGGACGACTTTTGACCCATCCACACCTCTGCGGGGGTGGTGTGGGTGTGGTGAGGATGAGGATGGAGATTGTGGAGGGCGGTAGCATGGAGCATGGCGTATCCCCAAAGAGAGGGAGGGACGGAAGCATGAGTGAGAAGGCAGCGAGCAATCTGCACCAGGATGCGGTTTCGGCTCTCAGCAACACCGTTCTGTTGAGGGCTGTCTGGGAGAGTGAAGGTCTGACGAATACCCTAAGTAGAGCAGAAAGCTTTGAGAGTGTTCTTGCGGAATTCACCGCCACCGTCAGAGTGAAGAATCTTGATTTTGGTTTTGAAGTGTGAATGAGCCTGCCTGGCCCATTTCATGATGATGGCTGGGGCTTCAGACTTGGCGGTGAGAAGGTGAACGGACACATAGCAGGAATAGTCATCAACGATGACAAGGAAGTAGAAGTGTACGCCACGGGAACGAACAGGAGCTAGACCCCAAAGATCCTGTTGAACAAGAATGAATGAACTAAGAGTGAAATGAGTACAAGTATGAAAACCTAGGAATGTGTACCCCCTATAGGCTACCCCAATGTAGGCTAAACAACTACAACAACATATATAATGTTGGACACACCCCCATAGGCGAAATGGGGGAGAACTAGGGGTCACAAGACCAGTCAAGTAAAGCAAAACAAAGCAAGCTCTGGGTGGATCACAACGTCACCACACAATCCAAGCACAAGTGCAAGGCCACAAGGCCAGTTCACATGCAGGAGTACAGATATATATATAAGACTAAACAAGCAAGAGCAATGATATATATATGTAACAGTACAAAGAGGGTCAAGAAGAGAGCAAGTAGGGCAAGACAGACACAAGACCCAGCTGGGTACAGCAGCGTTGATGATCACAAGGCGGAAGAGCCTTGGTGAAGACATCAGCAGTGTTGGCCTCAGAGGCCACGTACGCAAGTCGCAACTGACCACGCTGCTGTAGCTCACGAGCAAGGAAGTAGCGGAGAGCAATGTGCTTTGTTCTGTGCTCCAGTCTCTGCTCCCGACACAAGGCCAGCATGGCCTTGTTGTCGACGTACAGGACTGGAGGAGAACGAGGCGGCTCTCAAAGGTCGGTCAGCAGGTAGGTGAGCCAGCGAAGCTCCTGAGCAGCCATGGCCCCTGCGTAGATCTCAGCCTCACAACTGGAGCCAAGAACAGAAGACGAGCGAGTAGCCCGCCACGAAACAGAGCCGGAACCAAGGCCGAAAGTGTAACCTTGTGACGACCGCTGCGTAGCCTGGTCGTCAGCCCAAGAAGCGTCTGCGTGTCCAGTGAGTACCACTGGACTCCGCCCTCCAAGCACTAGCCCCATGCCCGACGTACTGCACAAGTAGCGCAACACCCTCTTCGCTGCAGCCATGTGCTCTGGTCAGTGTCTCCCAGGAGCAACATATCGTGCGAGAATGCTAAGAGGGTATGCAAGGTCAGGTCGTGTGCAGGTCATCAGGTACATGAGACAGCCAACAAGCTCTGGGTACGGGCCACTCGACTCTACGGACTCATCCGAAGGCAGAGCTGAGAGCAAGTGGCGAGTAGACAGAGGAGAGGCCTGAGGCGAGGAGTACGTGAAGCCGAAGCGCTGAAGGACCTGCTGCACCATGTGTGACTGAGTCAGGGTAATGGTGCGGCGTGCTCTGTCCAGGGTGATCTGCAAGCCAAGGTCGCACGCGAGTACCTGGAGTGGCAGACGCACTAGTCCTAATGCCCGGGTCGGGCGGGACACTCAGGTACTCAGCACCCTCTCCACTAGTAGACATCACATACATGGCAGTGAGAATAGCATCAAAGTCTAGAGCATAAATATCAATCCCCTTCTTCAGGAGATCAACCCAGCGGGGCAGCTCAGTGGCTTGAGGGAACTGAACACGCCAAGCGTCGTTCAGACGAGCGAAGCAACGCTGTGTGGCGTGCGGTCCCCCACACGGCTGGCCAGTGCGGTCACCAGTGCGAATGACGTACGTGCAGCTAAGGCCACCCCCCCCCCCCCGTGCTGAGAGTACCACTCACGGACCTCCTGGGGCGACGGAGTGTGCTGCTGGCCCTGGCCACCGCCAGCGCCTCCACGACCACCACCGCCGCTACCACCTCCTCGACCACCCCAACCCCGGCCGCTGCCCCGTCCACCGCCACCCCCACCACCTCCTCCGCCCCGGCCACCTCCCCCGCCGCTGCCGCCACCCCCCCCACTGCTGCCACCTCCCCCACCCGCGCCACCCCCCCCCGCCACCACCACCTCCCCCACCACCGCCACCCCCGCTGTCACCACCACCGCCCTTGCCCCCCTTGCCCTTGCCGCTGCGGCGCCCACTCGAAGCGGACGCAGTCCCGACCTTCTCAGCACCAAGGAGGTCGACAGCAGCAGCAGAGGCGACAGAGGGAAGAAGGGGGGAGGGAGAACACCCCTCAAAGAACGGGGTACGGGGGTCACCGCGAGAGGCACCTACAGCGACTATGCTAGCCTCAGCTGCAAGGAGTTCCTTCTCGAGGAGGGCAATGGTGAGCTCGGTGGGGCAGCGAGCTAGGAAGTGGTCCCTGACTGAGCGCAGAGTGTCAGGGAGGCGCGTGACTAGGTGGTAGAGAGTGAGCCAGAGCGGGGGTGGGTTCTTGGCAAGGAACTCATCAGGCATAGCGGCGCGGAAGCGAGCCTCACTAGTGCGGAGGTGGGTAATGAGATCAGCAACAGTGTGGAAGGAAGCTAGGTCGGGGAACAGGTAGGGAAAAGAGAGACGGCCTAGAGCGCCAGAGGCCGGCGAGGAGTAGCGGGCAACGACAGCAGTGTACAGTGCCTGTGCAGTCTTGTGCTGCCCAAAGTGCTCGCGCTCATCTATGGGCAGAGAGTTGCGAATAGCGAAGCGAGTATGGGCGTCACGAGTCTGCCACTGTGAGCGGGCAGTGCTGTCAGCAGTAGCAGCAGGAGCAGTAGCGTGGCCTAAGGCATGATCGTACAGCGAGATGTCTTCATTGGCAGTGAGCTGTAGGAAGAGGTGTAGGTCATCAAGCCAGGTGTCGAACTTCACTGGGCGGCCCTCAGTATCGAAGGCTAGGACATGAGGGCTAGCCATGGTAGCAGCAGTAGGAAAAGCAGTAGGAGCAGTAGGGTAGGTAGGGCGGCGCGGCTCGGTACAGGTAGGGCGGCGCGGCTCGGTATAGGTAGGGCGGCGCGGCTCGGGTCGGGCGGCGCGGCTCGGTTCGGGCGGCTCGGGTCGGGCGGCGCGGCTCGGTTCGGGCGGCTCGGTTCGGGCGGCGCGGCTCGGTTCGGGCGGCTCGGATCGGTTAGGGCTGGCGGCTCGGGTCGGCTCGGTTCGGGCTGCTCGGTTTGGGTGGGGCCGTTCGGGGCCGCTAAGGGCGAGCGCGGGGAGCGGGTGCTAAGGGCGAGCGCGGGGCCTATCGGGGCCGTGAGGGACGAGCGCGGGGCCGATCGGGGCCGTAAGGGACGAGCGCGGGGCCGACGTGGGCCTCTAAGGGCGAGCGCGGGGCCTATTGGGGCCGGTAAGGACGAGCGCGGGGCCGACGCGGGCCTCTAGGGGTAAGCGCGGGGCCGATTCGGGGCCTCTAAAAGCGAGCGCGGGGCCGACCGAGGCCTCTAGGTGCGAGAGCGCGGGGCCGACGGGGCCTCTAGGGGCGTGAAAGCCGAGGCGCCCTAGGGCGCAGGTAGGTAGGTAGGTAGTGGTGGGCCCTAAAAAAAATCGGTCCTAGGAAGGACCTGCTCTATACCATGTTGAACAAGAATGAATGAACTAAGAGTGAAATGAGTACAAGTATGAAAACCTAGGAATGTGTACCCTCTATAGGCTAACCCACTGTAGCCTAAACAACTACAACAACATATATAATGTTTGACAGGTCCATGTGTACGCGATCGAGAGGTGCGGTAGAGATGGACTCAGTGGGAGGATGGGGCTGTTCCCGAAGCTTGCTCTGTGCACAGTCAAAGCAAGGCGGTCCAGAAAGAGAGGGGGGTTGTGGAAGTGAGGCGGGCAGCCCATGAAGGAGTTGTTTGGTGGCAAGGTCTGAAAGTGCGCGGAAGTTGATGTGGCCGAGGCGGTTATGAAATAGCATAGTCTTGTCAGTGAGGAGGCGGCAGTGACATGAGGGGGAGTCTGAGGATGGAAGCGGAAGGTTGGTGAGGGAGCATGTTTGAACGGGAGGTACAACTAGTGTGTACAAGTTGTTGGAGTTGAGGGTGATGCGGGCAAGATGGAGTCCGATTTTGGCGTCAAACATGTCACAGTAGTCAACATCATTGGGAAAGATGGTGATCACGCCTGCGTGTTGGATTTCCCGTTGTGCAAGAAGGTTGTAGCGGAGGGTGGGGGCACAGATGCCAGTGACTGTGCCGGATGGGAAAGCTGGACAGGAGACTGTGGAGGACCCATGGCATTGGATGGAGAAGCTAGAATCAGCTCCAAGGAGTGAGGTGGGAGCCTGGTAGGGAACGAAGGCAGTTTGGTCTTTAAGCACTGTGTGGGTGGCACCACTGTCTAGTATGAACTCGATTCACTGTGTGGTTGAAACACCGATGTACTGCGACCCCTTCTCATTAATAAGACCAGCGCTAGAGAACAACAGGTTAAGGCGAACATCAAATGGGGCACTAGCAAATGCCTGAGCAGGTTCCTCCACTGCCTCGACCTGGTTCACGCGACGGGGTGGTGCCCAGTTGGGAGGGCGCTTGTCCTTGGAGACACCGTGGACGTCATACCACTCGTCATCTCGCCTCTTGAAGCAAGTTGCCTCAGGGCGGTTGGTGCCATTGCATTTCTGCCCCGCACGTGGACCCTTCCTAATGAGGTACTGGCATGGGGGAAAGGAGTTGCGCCTCTGGCCCTGCTGGGTTCGAAATGGGATGCCAGGGGAGTAGCGCACAGCATTGACGGATGCCTGGGCTGCAAGGTCCTTTTCGGCGGAGAGAAGGGCCGAAGCGACTTTCTCAAAGGTGAGTTCCTTGGTGGGGAGCTGCTTGAGCATGGAACTGGTGACGTTGTAGGCCGGGGTGAGTCCGACGAGTAGCCCAGCAGCAGGTGCCTGCTCGGGGAAGGTGATCCCAATGTCCTTGAGCTCCTCATGGATGTTGCGGATTTCAGAGATGTAGTCTGCCATGCCCGGGCATTCCTCAAGACTGATTTGGAACATGCGCGGAATGAGGATTGCAACTCCCACTGCAGTTTTGTCATGAAATCGATCCTGGAGGTACTTCCAAATGTCATGCGCAGAGCGGAAGGTGCGGTAGGACTTGACTAACTCAACTGGGGTGGTGGTGATGAAAACCCTAATCACTGCCGCATCCGCCTGCTCCCAGAGACTGAAGTCCGTCTCATACTTGGTGGTCTTAGCGTCGAAAGCAAGCTTGGCTGTGGCAGTGGCGCCTTCGCCGAGAGGATCGGGAGGGAGAGGCATCTTCCCCTTGCCGCGGTTGAGGAGGATGTCCTCCAGGCAAATCCCCTTGAGCTCCGAGCTAAGGAGGTGCTTCTCCACTCCATAGCACCACTCCCCGAAATTGGTGCTCGTGCCGTTGGGAGCGAGGTTAAGGATGATGAGGTTTCCAACGAGGGTAGAAGTTGAAGTTGCCATTACGCGCGGAGCGCAGTGCTAAAGTCTCCGATACTTATCGGAGCGAAGCGGAAACCCTGTTATTTGGAAATTAAGGAAGTCCGAAACGCGATTTTGTCAATAGAATGCCCGTAATTTACCTTGTTATACTGCTTCGCCGATGCCCCCTGATCTGCTTCGCTGCTGCCCCTGTTCCGCTTCTCTGCTGCGCCGCTGACCTGTTCTGCTGCGCCGCTGACCTGTTCTGCTTCTCTGCTGCGCCGCTGACCTGTTCTGCTGCGCCGCTGACCTGTTCTGCTGCGCCGCTGGACCTGTTCTGCTGCGCCGCTGGACCTGTTCTGCTGCGCCGCTGAACCTGTTCTGCTGCGCCGCTGAACCTGTTCCGCTGCGCCGCTGGACCTGTTCCGCTGCGCCGCTGAAAACCTGTTCCGCTGCGCCGCTGGACCTGTTCTGCTGCGCCGCTGGACCTGTTCCGCTGCGCCGCTGGACCTGTTCTGCTGCGCCGCTGAAAACCTGTTTGAAGTTAAGAAGATGCGAAAAATTGCCACGGAGATATAAACACCAGAAGCTTACGATGAAGGAAGTCGAAGGCTGAGAATGTCGCCGTTGAAAAACGAGATGCGCGATGAACGAAGCCGAATGCGCGCTTGACCGGAGCGACGATGTGAAGTTTCTGAAAAAACGCTAAGCGTAGGAGCCGGTAATCGAAATACGCATAGCCTAGAAGGAGAGAACCATCGGGACGCCAAGGATCGGATTCCGCGTGAGCGGAATTTACTAGCTCGATACCATGATAGAATTTGAACTGAACTGCTTACTTGATAAGGAAGGCACTAGGCCTTAAGTACAAACAGGGTTGGGTTGAGCAAAGCTAGGGAAAGGATGGGATGGGAATCCTAGCAAATCTCCAATTGGTGAGTTGGCAGATTTGCAGGATTACGAGGGAATCCCAACCAGATAGGGTTGGGATTACAAATCTACACCCAACCTACAAAGTAACCTAACCGATATAGAATATAGTACAAAGTGTTGACTGACTATTTCTAACAAAGAACTGGCGCTCCTCCTCGCGCTGCCACCTCGCACCCCTCACACTCCCCTCATCCAAACCACCAATCGCCCTCACCTTCTCCTCACCCCATGCTCCCCCAATTCCCCTCCTCTTCTCTCTCCTACCTCCCTTTCCCCCGTCCCTCCCCCTTCCCTCTCCCCCCGTCTTCTTCAGGTGACTCCTGGACTGCTTTTTAATTTAACGGACGGCAAGCCATTCATAATCGGCAGCAAGAGCACGCAGGGCAAGAACTGGCGCACCTCATCCCGCTACTTCGTGGGTCCGGGCCACTACTTTGCCAACTTCATGGTGCAGCTGCCCTTTGTTTTCCCGCGTGCCGTGCTGCCCAAGTTCCGAGACCACGTGGGGCAGCTGCACGGGCGCAAGTTTGGTGGGAGCTTCGACGCGGCGTTCAAGTTCTGGTCGATCCGCGGGCCCATTGCGGATCGGTCGCACGTTGCACACACGACTCTCGGGAACTACATGTGGTTCTTTGCCAACGACTCGGTAAGCTCTGGCCTTTTCTCTCCTTCTCTATGGGCTCCTCTAGAACAGCCAAACTTCTTGGTGCAGCTGCCCTTTGTCTTCCACACGCTGTGCTGCCCAAGTTCCGCGAGCTTGTGGGGCAGATGCATGGACGCAAGTTCGGGGCCAGCTTCGATGCGGCGTTCAAGTTCTGGTCGATCCGCAGTCCCATTGCGGATCGGTCTCACCTCACGTTGCACACACCACGCTTGGCAACTACATGTGGTTCTTTGCCAATGACTCGGTAAGCCTGGGCGTTTCCTCCTGTGTGTGGGGGGGTAAGAGGGGGGGTGCTTTTTGTGTGTGTCACACCCACCTATCTCACCATCTTCCTTCTGCCTCCTTCCACCTCCTACCGACCCCATCACAGGCGCATTGGGCCTTCGAGTGGGAGTCACGAACGCCCATCCCTCGAGTTGGTGTGCACATTCCCCACACGAATTCGTGCCAATGATTTCCCAACACCTACCTATCTCCCCACGTTCCCTCTGCCTCCTTCCACCTCCAACTAACCCCCTCGCAGGCACATTGGGCCTTCGAGTGGGAGTCTCGAACGCCCATCCCGCGCGTTGGAGTGCACATCCCCCATACCCACGAGTTCCGCAACGCCTCTGGCCCCGCCGCCGGCCCTCCCCAACGACTCGTGAAAACTTATGTCGATTTGACTGGCACGTACGCGCATGAGGGGCTGTGTAACGCATTTCCGGAGGGGGAATTGGCTCATTGCGAGGACGCGTCGAGGGAGCAGGGACAGATTTGGAGGTACGCGCTGAGCGGGAGTGAGTGGTCGATTTTCCAGAGCGGGACAGTGAATGGGACGGTGATGCATGATGATTATAAGTGGGAGTTGAAGTGTATGTATGAGCGCGTGGTGGGAGCGAAGACAGGGGAGTGGAAAGGGGATGTGGAGGGGAAGCGGCAGGAGCTGGTGAAGGAATTGACGAAAAACTGCATCGTTCCACACTCCAACAAGTACTGAGGAGCAAGAGCAGTGTAAGGCCAGGGAGAGGAATTTCTCTATGGTCGTATGGCTGGCATGAATCTGCTTCTCTTGGTTTGAAAATATATTTTGCAATGCTGGATCAGAGTCGTGATGTATCAATATAGTCCCAGTTATACAAAAAAACTTATGTGAGAAGGTTCCAAACCATATGTTGATTTGGAAGATAGCCATTCCGTACCAGTATGTTAGAATCTCTAGAAAATTAGCTACATAGTTCTATCATCTGGCAACTTGATCCGGCTATTGGACAGGAGCACTGAGGCCGCGTTCTGTAGGCGTTATTGCCTCCGCATGAAATGTACGGTCCCAGTCCTTCCCCGTAGCTTCTCACCGCACCAAATGTCAAATTTCTCAATTTGCTGGGCGGTGTTGCCACGAAGTCTCGTCAAACTCTCAAATCTCTCAAATTGCTGCCCCGCATAAGTTGTGCGCTGGCTGATGCTACCTCTCGAGGCAGAATTGGGTCCGCACAAGTTGTGCGGCATTTGCCTGGAGAAGCAACATCGTGGAATCTTCACCCCGTTAAATTTGTGTGCCCCAGAAGTGGCGTTCTGCAGTCTGCAGTGTTAAATTTGGCGCAAGCAGGTTTGGCCGGACCGCGCTTATCACCAAATGTTGATAGGCAGAAGCTAACTTATCGGGGAAGATTCTGCGGACCCAGTTTCTTGCAATTTAACGCCTGCAGAACAGCGCCTGAGAGTAGGTCGTCTTCGAAAGATTCTCGTTTGTTGACAGCTGACTCTGAAAGGTCCATTCTGGTGCGCAAAGGTCTAAAGCGATGAAACTCGAGAACCGCTCTCAAACGTGGCTAACCGTATCCAATCGCGTCAAACGAGCCCTGAATGGAAACGCATGACATCCCATCAGCTTCTAGCGACAGGCTTTTTTAGAGAGCCATGGATGCAAGAAGCTGGAGATACAATCTCTCTTGTAGCCACTGTCCCGACTCGTAGTCTGACAAGTGGCACGAGTACTCGATCTCTCACCTCGCCGTTCACAGATGGCTGGTCGTTAGTGCAACGCGCACATCGTCAAATTACGCGGTTCTCGCCACGCGTTCCCTGGGGTCTGGCAACACGTAGATGACATTCCGCTTACAATGATTGCTGTCTGTCAAGCCTTCCCTGGGGTCTAGCAAGCAGGCGAGCAGTCCCTTAGTCGCAGCTCGTGGCAATTGTAAACACAGGGGGATCGTTTCCCGTTCCCGCGTTAAAGCAGATTGCCACGCCTGGATGGCTTTGGACCTTTGAGGTAATTCAGAAGGCTTCTCGCGTTGGACAAGGGATGAAGCGACTGATTGACGACCATCGTCATGTCGACGCTCCTCTCGAGGCCTTCCAGTTTTCACAACCTGCAAGCTCCGACCGTTCCCACCATTGCGATCATTCCGACCATTCCGATTGTTCCAAGCGCTGTCTGGCTGAAGTGACTTGTGATTCCAGTCCGTGTGATCTTTCTCTTCGGGCTGTGATCATTTCGCGGTCACAAGCAGCGCGTCTGGTTGTCGGCTCCGCCGTTATTCTTATCATCCTTCTTTCGCTTGCTTTCCAGCTCGGTCGAATCTCGTCGTTGTGTCAACCTCCACTGATCGATAATAAGCATGATAATTTTTCGTCAGGCTTCAAGAAGCTTACTCGGAACAGACTGATCGCCCTGACGTTTTCCGTCATCTCGTCTCGACGTCGCATCCTCGTCTCAGACCCCGTGGATTCCACGTCACCTGAAACCTCTTCCGCTACACCGAATTCGTCGCAAATCTCAGCACTCGCAGACGGCGGTTCTGCATTGCTAACGGACACGTCAGCAGAGAATAAATCAGACGAATCTCGCGAAACTGACGAATCTGAATTTTGGAATGAGCTTGCAGCTGACACATTTGACGCCGAAACCTCGATCCTGAACACTACAGGTTCAAAACTTGTAACGAAGGTAACAGATGGAGCTTCAGAGGGGAGTGACGATCGGGGTTCAGGTGACAATAGCGAGAGTAGAGGTGAGAGTGACGAGAGGTACTATACGGCGGATGGGTTGGAGCGGCTGAAGGATCCGTGTGGGGGGATCGGTGGAAGCAGCTACAATGGCAGGAACAGCAGTCACAGCGGCAGCAATGGCAGCAGAAGCAGCAGCAGCGGTAGGTGCTACAATTGGAGGTGCCACAGGCGAACGAAATCGGGGTATTGCGTGAAGGAGCTGCTGTCGCTATATGACGAAGCTTACCGCCCGCTGTGGCCCGCACGGGTGGACCTGGTGGTGCGCAGCTACGTGTCGGACAACTTCTTCCTCACGGCGTTCCTCTTTGCCAGCATCGAGCAGATGTGGCCAGCTGGCATTGGTGACGTCATCCTGGTGCTGGATGAGGCCGACCGCCACGTGGAGGACATTGTGCCACCCTGGGTCAAGGTGAGTCAACGCGGGTCAACGTGGGTCCATCAGAGCAATTAGTCTGTTATCATCACACTATGTTTTTGCATTTTCACAATTTCTTTTTGTTCCTCTTTCACGTTTTTCCCAGTCAGATTTATTATGAGAAGAACGTTTTGGATTTGCCCGGGAAAATACTTCAGCAGTGGAGCTACCTGTGGGCCGACAACTACACCACCGCACCTTACATTGCCATCATAGATGATGACGTCATCTTCAACCTCAAGGTGAGCCCCCTATGGTTTTGCTGGAAGTAATGAATGAGCGCCCTTATGAACTGACTACTTCGGCGCAGCACCGTGGAGCATCATTATAGTTGATGCCTGGGTCAATTTATGGGTCGAGAGTTGGCACAAGGAGCGACTGATAATCTGGGCTCAAGTCTGGCCCATTGTGTGTCTCAATGGCTGGCTGAATGTCTGGCTCCTTCCTGTTCACCCCAAGCCTGCTGTTCAACCTGGCAGGCAGCAAGGACAGACAGCAGAGACAGCTGGACGCGCCTAAGAGTCGCTGTTTCCCTCATCACACCCCACCCATCACCTCTCAACCACACTCCCCCCCCCCCACAGGCGACCCCCGGGCTGCTGTTCAACTCGACACGACAGACGGCTTGCCGTACGTGATTGGCAGCAAGGACACGCTGTCAGACAACTGGAAGCCGTTCCATTCACCCCTCTCAACACCTTTTAATCACCCTCGTGCCAGGTGACCCCAGGGCTGCTGTTCAACCTGACCAATGGCAAGCCATACATGATCGGCAGCAAGAACACGCAGTCAAACTACTTCTTCGCTGGTCGCTACTGCGCCAACTACATGGTGCAGCCAACCTTTGTCTTCCCGCCCGCGCGCTGTGCTGCTTCCCATTGCACTGTATCATCCCAACACTCCGTCTCCCCTTTCCTGCTCCCCCTTTTCCCCCTCTCCCCCTTCCCCTCCGCCCGTTCCCCTTCACTCCCCTGTTCTCCCTCAACACCAGGTGACCCCAGGTTTGCTGTTCAACCTGACAAACGGCAAGCCGTACGTGATTGGCAGCAAGAACTCGCATGGGGACAACTGGAAGCCCTCCCATCACTTCTCTCAGCACCTTCAGCCACCCCCCTCCCAGGTGACCCCAGGACTGCTGTTCAACCTGACCAATGGCAAGCCGTACGTGATAGGCAGCAAGAACACGCAGTCAGACAACTGGAAGCCGTCCTCCTACTACTTTGTCGGCCGCTACCACGCCAACTACATGGTGCAGCTGCCCTTTGTCTTCCCACGATCCGTGCTGCCAGAGTTCAGAAGGAGGGCAGCCAAGCGGCACAAGAAGGACTTTAATGCGGCTGTCAAGTACTTTGCAGATCACGGGCCATCCTTTGCCAAGTGAGAGCTCTGCACCAAGTAGACTAGGATATGATTTCTATTCTTTTGTTTTCTTTCTTTTCTTTTCTGCTTTCAGTTTCGTTTTCTGGTGTTTCTTATCTTTGCCCCCCACTCCACCTTCCGTCAATCTCTTGTCTCGTTTTGCTTTATGTTTCCTGTTTCTGCCCAACGCGTCTACATGTTTCCTTTATTGCAGGACACAGATAGCGCACACAACACTCGGCAACTACATGTGGTTCTTTGCCAATGACTCTGTAAGTGCTGACTTGCTGCTTCCTTGGTGATGGGAAACAAACACATCCATGCCTTGCATGCCAAGCCACACACATCCATGCCGAACCAAACAGATGCAGACACTTTCACCCACCTACTTGTCCCTTTTTTACGTCGTTTTCTCCCACTCCTTGCCCTCTTCGATATGCCCCTTCCAACGCCTCCTTCCCAAGCTCCCAACTTTGTGTAAACATTTCCACACTCTTTCTATTCTTCTTTCTTTGACATCAGGTTCACTGGGTGCTTGAGTGGACACCAGTTACACCGTTACCAAGAGTGGGTGTGCATATCCCTTACACGATGAAGTTCCGAAACATCACTGGCCATTCAGGCCCAGAGCACCGATTGGCCAAGGCATATGTTGACGTTGTGGGGTTCTATGCGCATGAAGGCATGTGCCATGCTTTTCCTGAAGGGAAGTTGAGAAACTGCGAGGATGTTGCTGGGCCGCAGGACCAGATATGGAGGTATGCCATGGATTGGGATGATTGGCCCATGATACGAAAGCATGTGCAAGGTGCAAAGGTTTTGTATGATTGGTACCAGTGGGAGCTGCAGTGTATGTATAGCCAGGTTGTGTTGGCAAGAACGCATGATTGGAGGACGGATGAGGTGGAGAATAATCGCAAGATGTTGGTGGAGGATTTGAGAAAGAAATGTATTCCTTCGAATCAGGCGTAGTTGCTTCTTTGATGGCCGATTTTCCCATTGTGTAGCATTTTTGTCAAGACTAGAGAAAGCAACCCATACTCTGAACACCCAACCCAATTCCCTGCTTCACTAAATTTTTGTTTGAAAATGGTTGAGTAATTTACAGCTCGATAAGGAACTAGTCTCTTTCGTAATGTATAGTTGAAACCCGTTTGTGGACACAGTTCTGCCTTCCCCAGGTTGATTCAACCTGTCCCGGAACGCAGGTAGGCCGCCACCGTCACAAATGCCGTTTTCCATGTTTCTTGCCTTCTACCCGTTGACTGTTGACGCGGTCAATGGAAGCCGAGCCTTGTTCAAAACGGAAATTTTCGCAACTAGGGCAGGGACGACGGCAAGATGTGACCTCTTGTTCATCCAAGAGACGTAACCTTGGCCTCTGATCTGGAAGTCTTTCAGGTGCCTTACCTGGATGACTCCATTCGCAGGTGCTACAGCGTAACCCATGGAAAGGACTGGCCGACCGACACCACAACTGGGGCAGAAAAAGTCGGCCCCGTAACAAGGGCAGTAATACACTCTGAATTATTGTTTAAATGTTACAAAAGGCGTCATCATCTTTGTAAAAAACTCCCATCAGGTCCCAGTCAGCGTGAACAAGCAAATGCTTCTCAGCAGCCCGCCTCACCCTCCCCAACCACCATCCACGCCACATGCATCACCATCATTCTCGCGGGGGGCGGGGCTCCATCCTCTGGTCGGTTGCATCGTGCCCGACATAAATTCGCCACAGCCAATCAGTGGCCCAGTTTTCAAGATCGCAGCTCAAGTTTTCCCGCTTCCCGGCTTCTCCCGGCTCGGCAATGTGCGTGTGGTGGTAATCAGCAGCAGAATAGAACCTTGAAACCATTCTGCTTCTCGAGTATACTCTGACAATTGACGAACCATTGAAGTCACCCACCCACCGGCCAACTAACGGCAGGTAGTATTCAGTTTCCCTGCGGTTCCCTGCGCTTGTTCACGAGGTAGCATTCACATTAGTCGGTTCCCTGCGCTTGTTCTCTCGCTCTCGTGATACCTTTCGTTTTGTAATCTCCCGTCAACAGATTTTAGTCTGCAGTCATAGTTTCAACCCAGCTCGCCAATTCTTACTCAAGCAGTGCAGGTGGTAGTATGCTGTAATGCACTTCTCAACACCGATACGCGATCCAGACATTACAGGAATTAGAAGGTTGATTTCATTATGGATTTCTTGACTCGGTTGCTGCATGGCTGTATGCGATAGTGACATCGAGACCTCATCTGAAACTACGCAACTTCCAACTTTTCACGCCTGGTATTCTCTCGTGAAGAAGGCTCGATAGACCGACAACAAACCGAAGGAGAATCGCGCGTGAAAAGACCATCTTGAACGGTTTGATTATTCAGCTAAGCATTTCCGTCCATAGCTTGCAAGCCGTCTCCCTTCCGATGGCGTTCGACACCATGAGAAAGACGGATTCCGTTGCCATTGCTTCTCCCAAGCAACCAAAAGACCTCCAATATAAATCCCACGCCTCCCCATTTCTCATCTTAACTCGCCGACAAGCACTATGCCTAGGTCTAATGTCCGGAATTACCCTCATCGTCCTCCTCGCAATCGCCAACACCCTCGGCCGAGTCAGCTCAATCGGCGGTAGCTCGCTATTAGACCGGCCGTTCAACTCGCTCTTAACGGATCGTGACTATGCCGACGCGGACGTTAAAGCGGGGATGTACGGCTCTACGGACGGCTTTTCCGACGTGGAAGGGTCGTCGGAAAAGAGCTCTGGAGGGATGCGGGTGGGGATCGAAACGCAGATCGATCCGTGTGGAGGGATTGGTCTAAGTCCGGGGAACGACAACTGCTTCGGATCGTGTAAACGTCGGACCAAGTCGGGACACTGCGTGAAGGAGCTGTTCAAGCTTTACGACGACGCCTATAAGTAAGTCTCTGTCTTTTTTTTCTCTCTTTCCTTTTCTTTTCTCTCTTCTTCGTTCCCTACTTTCTTTATAACCGACCGTGTTTTTCAGTGCTCACGAGCAAGCTCGTTGATTCGTATGCTCAGTAAGAGCTCAATTCCAGCTGTGACGGATACTTCCATCCGGCTCAAGTTGTAAATTCCTTGACATTCTCTCTCTTCTCCCCCATCTCCCCTCTCCCCTCACCCCCGCCCTCTCTCCTCCTTCCCCCTCCCCCTTCCCCACGTCATCCCCATGTAACAGGCCCCTGTTGCCGGCGCGGGTGGACCTGCTGATTCGCAGCTACGTGTCGGACACGTTCTTCATCCCAACCCCCCTTGCCTGCTCCCCCATCCCCCACCCGCCCCCTCTTCCCCTCTCCACTCGTTAGACCTCTGTGGCCGGCGCGAGTGGACCTGCTGATTCGCAGCTACGTGTCGGACACGTTCTTCCTGCTGGAGATGCTCTTCGACAGCATCGAGCAGATGTGGCCACGTGGCATCGGTGACGTCATCCTGGTGCTGGACGAGGACAACCAAATCGTGGAGGACATCGTGCCCACGTGGATCAAGGTGAGGGAACGGGAGTCAACGAGAGTCAACGGGGGTCAATCCAGGTCCAGGTCACATCAGTAAGGTAACAATGCTGCAGAGAACCACTCTAACTCACTACTAAGCCAATTCAGCAAATTGGAATCTGTAGCCAATGCTCTGCATCCCAGGCGGGCAACAATGCGGAAATGAATTCCAATTTGGTCGTCGCACAGGGTAGACGTGGCGTTTGTGTGAAAGCACGGACGAAATCATGGCACGTATGAAACGAGCCTTGAAAGAGTTCGAATTGCTGTCAACCATCAGCACTTGGTGTCTAGCGCCCGTGCTTGTTCAAGACTAATCTCATCAACAATCGCAACCCTTGTTCGTTCCCCGGCCCATTTTCCCCTCCAATAACCACCAGGTGTACTACGAGAAGAACTATCTGAAGCTTCCTGGAAAGATCCTCCAGCAGTGGAGCTACCTGTGGGCCGACAACTACACCACTGCTCCGTACATTGCCATCATAGATGATGACGTCATCTTCAACCTCAAGGTGAGCCCCTCATGTGGTATCATTGCTGGAAGAGACCATCCTCTTGACAGTTTCGACCTCACGGGTGGCAATCCCTATGTGATCCGCAGCCGCAAATGAACCACTTCAACTAGGTGCTTTCCCAATGGCACACCCAGCCCACCTTCCCCCCTCCCCACCTCTCTCCATCCTCCCCTCCCCCACTTTCCCCGTCTTTCGCCACACAATCTGCTCTCCAATCTGCTCTCCAATCTGCCCGACAGCCAGCTGGCCTTGATGGTGCGCCTGCCCTTCGTCATCCCCAACCCCGCATCATCCCTTGTCCTCCCCCCACTCACCTCTCTCCTCTCAGGTGACCCCAGGGCTACTCTTTCAATCTCACGGACCGCGAGCCACCCCTTCATATTCCTATCCCCCGTTGTCGTCCCCCCACTCACCTCTCCCCACTCCAGGTGACCCCGGGTCTTCTTTTTAACCTGACGGACGGCAAGCCGTATGTGATAGGCAGCCGGCAGAAGCAGATGAACCACTGGGTGCCCTCCACCCATTACTTCGTGGGCAAGCCCTACTACTTCGCCAACTTCATGGTGCAGCTGCCCTTTGTCTTCCCCCGTGACGTGCTACCCAAGTTCCGAGACCACGTCACGCGCATCCGCGACGGCAAGTTCGCCAGCTTTGACGCCGCCTTCCTCAACTTTGCGCGGCATGGGCCCAAGTTCGAAAGGTGCGTCGGGTTTTCAGGGCGTGTAAAATTGTAATGACCAAAGCGATTTTCCGACCATTTGGGTGTTTCAGGCGATTGCGAAACGTGTAACGTGTCAGCGAACATTGCTACACATTTCGCCAGCACGTGGGGTACCCACACAAAACCACCCCCATAATTGAAAGCGAAATGTTTATTTCCAGATGGAGCATTCGAACGGGGGGATAGAATCCACGGGGGACGAAAACAAAAAATAGTGTTTAGCAAAGCAGTGAGGTTAGGCGGGCATGTTCGGGGGCAAGCACAAGGTCGGTAGGTAGGTAGGTACCAAAGAGGCAGTGGGTGCAACTTTAGCAAGAAGTACCATCGATATTCAGTCAAGTCGGGGTGACTAATCTATGCGCGTTACCATGAGTTCTTCGCTATCGTCAGAAACACCCGAATGGTCGACCATTCACTATGGTCGTTACAATTTTACATACCCTTAGGCACCTGGGAGGATCACAAGCATCGGAATGGAATCAAACCCTGTGCACGCCTGAGTCAGTCTTGCTGGAGTTCGCAAGCTGGGTCTGAGGCAAAGCAAGAGTCTGAGACATGCTGCGCAAGTTCCGAGACCACGTCACACACATCCGCGATGGAAAGTTTGCGAGCTTTGATGCAGCCTTCCAGAACTTTGTGTGGCACGGGCCAAAGTTTGAAAGGTTTGTGGGTGGGCTGGGTGCATGGCTAAGAGAGATTTGACGCCGCCTTCTAAAACTTTGCACGGCATGGGCCAAAATTCGAGAGGTGTGTCGGGTTTTCATGCACTCGAGAGGATTTCAAGAATCCACTTCTAACCAGACATTGTGCGCACGCCTGTCCTGCTGATATCCGAGAGCTGAGCTGAAAAGCTGAGTCTGAGACGACTATAGGACAAACGAATCAAGACTCTGAGACGTCTGAGAGTCTTGTATGTAGGTATGAGCCAAAGCAGGAAAATGTTGTGGTTGAGGTGCCATGCTTCTGATGCTTGATGGGCAAACAAACAGCACGGGCAAAAGTCAGTTTGATGTGTGCCCTTCCCACGCTCATGGTTTCCCTGTGCCGGCTGTGTGTTTTTTCATTCCTTCCTTGTGCTGAGCAGGACGCAGATCGCCCACACGACTCTGGGCAATTTCATGTGGGCCTTCACACAGGACGAGGTGAGCAGGCAGGCAGGCAGGCAGGCATGTGGGATTCAGAGAATGTAATCCCTGTGTGGTGACAGAGCAAGGGCTTTCACTGTCATGTGGGCATTCACCCAGGATGAGGTGGGCAGAGAGGATAGGACCAGGCGAGCAGGCAGGGATGTGTGATGTGTTTGTGTGACAAGAGACCCCGGGTTTTGATGTGGTGACGTGGAAAGAGCTTGGGCTGTATCATATCATGTCATCCCATGCCATATCTTACCATACCATGCCATGCCATGCCATGCAATGCCACGTCATACCATACCATCCCCCACGTAGGCTTGCACATGTCATACTCTGTTCATCATGCCCCCCTCACCTTCTCCCCTCTCCATCATACCCACAAGTGCACTGGGCGCTAGAGTGGACCAACCACGTGCCCATCCCACACGAGGGCGTGCACATGTCCTACTCTACTCTGCTCACCCACCTCCCTCTTCTCCTCCATCTTCCCCGAACTCACAGGTGCACTGGGCGCTAGAGTGGACCAACCATGTGCCCATCCCACGTGTGGGCGTGCACATGTCCTACTCACAGCCCTTCCGCACAGCCACCAACAACAGCGACAACGCCCCCCGCGTCGTCAAGATCTACGTGGCTCTAGCAGGCTACTACGCCCACGAGGCCCTGTGCCACGCGTTTCCCAAGGGCGCGCTCGATCGGTGCGGCGATGTGTTGAAATATGAGCAGCGGCAGATCTGGCAGTATGTAATGGACTGGTATGATTGGCCGGCGATCAAGCACAAGAGGAGGAACGCGACGTTTGTGTATGATTTGTATAAGCGCGAGCTGGCGTGCATGTATGGGAAGGTGGTGGATGCGCGTACTAACGAGTGGACGGATCATATTATAGGGAGGCGAAGGGAGCTGGTGAATGAGATGACGAGAGACTGTGCCACGCCACACTCTATTTAATATATAGGGTGTCTGGTTATGTGGTAATGCCTTCGTAATTATCGAATGTTTGGCATGTTGATGTTCATTTGTGGGACTACTGGTATACGATTACAATTATACCAGTATACATTTGTGAAAGTACCAGTATACGATTACGATTGATGTTCATTTGTGAAAGTACTAGTAGTATACGATTGTTTTTCTGTACCCCCAAACAGTCTGAAGTGCTCATCACATCCACAATAATGCTTTGCACTTGTACTGAGCTGTGGTGACATGTGGGTCATTCATACTTACATACTTTATGTCTCCTTACTACGGTATAAGGAAGAAGGCACAAATACGAGCCCTCCTAGCTCTATATGATGGCAAGTGATAGGGAAGTACCCTAGCGGAAAGAATGAGGACTGAAAATAAGTCTGGACTGGTGTAAGGAAAATTCCTTTTCCTTACTTCGCGTCCCTGCTCAGCGCGTACACCACTGTTCCCGCCAACAGCACCCAACAGTAAACCGTTACCATTCGCGACATTCGCCTCGACACTATTCCCGCCACTGTTCACGACGCGACCCAACCTCACGGTTCGGTTGGTAACCCGCGCTCCAGACCTCCGCCTTGGCATCTCCCAACCTCGGCGCCAGGCCCGTCGCGCACCCCACTTTTCATGCATTACTGTTACCACTATAGTGTCACTATATATTCTTCGCTTATGCCTTCGCTCATTGTACGCTTGCTTCGATAGTGCAATTCTCGCTCGTTCACTCAATTGCACTCGTAACAACTGGACATTCAAGCTTTGTTTTGGGGCATCTCCGATATAATAAATGAAGTTTAGGGTTCTATGTGATAATTTTAGGGCATCTTCAAAGTATTTTGAAAGGTTGTATGTGATAAGATAAATAATAAAATACAATTGTATGTTACAACATGGTAATTCCAATCAGTAGCAAAAGTGATTCACTCACACACACAGACTGCTTCTCAAAATCCACACATGCCCCGCTCCCCATTCCCCACTAACCCTTCTTCGCCTGCACCTTTCTGTTCTGCTGTCCCTGCTTCTTTTGAGCGACCTTCGCTTGCACCTGGTTCGCCTGAGCTGCATCCTTCCCTTGCATTTTGTTTGCTCCCCCCTTCTTCTGCACTTTCTTCAGCTGTGCCGTTGCTTGTGCCTTTCCTTTCTCTGCTGCAGCCTGCACCGTTGTCTTGGCTTCATTCGCTTTCCTCTTCACCCACGCCCAGAATCCCTCCCGGTTCTTCTTTTTCTTCTTTGACTTCTAATCCCATCCTGTCCGCTCCACGCTGCGTTTCCTCCCCTCTTGCCCCCACTTGTCCCAGCTGAGGGGTCGGAAGGAGTGAGATTCGGTTCTGCAACGGTGCGAGTGGTAAACGCAGTCCCTGATTTAGAACCACCATTCTTACTGCCACTGCTGCCTGTCGGGCTGCTCTGAGCACCAACCAAGGAGGTTCCTGTGCCAGTACCAGTGCCGCTGTTTCCCCCTGAAGTTTCACCTGAAGCATCACCAGAACCATCAGCTGAAGCACCGCCTGACGAATCACCTGCACCGTCAACTGCGGCATCACCCGAGGTATCACCTGAGGCATCACCTGAGGTTCCACCTGGCGTATCACCTCCTCCGACACCACCTGCTGCTCCGCTCGCTGCAGCTCCCCCTGCTCCTGGCACAACCCCTGGGTTCACTTTCTTCTTTCTCGCACTTCCCCCCTTTATAAGCTTCTTCGCCAGCCCTCCAATGGCCTTCGCTGCGCCATTAGCTGCTTGGGTAACAGCACCCTGTGCGTTGCCAATCGCCTTGCTTACTGAACCTGTACCAGGAATCACCTGAGGGGGAACCTGCTTGGGTGTGGGAGGTACAGGTGTAGTAGCAGTAACCGTCCCTCCCGTTACAGTTCCTCCCGCTCCAGTTCCTCCTGCTCCAGTTCCTCCCGCTCCAGTTCCCGTTACATCTCCAGGTGATCCGTCTGAGGGCCCAGTTGTATCACCTCCTCCACTGGTGTCATCTCCAGACGTGTCAATTCCAGAAGAGGTCGTGTCATCTTGAGAAGAATCCGAGTCACTGCTGTTGCTCCCACCCGAGCCACTGCAGTCCGTTTCATCACTCCCATCGCTGCAATCCTGCACGCCGTTACACTTGAGCGTTTCAGCTATGCACTGCACGATATTCCCACACTTCCAGTACCCATCCGGACACTCGTACACCGCACAGTAATCCTGATCCTCATCCGAAGGGAACAGCCCCCCACTCGCTCCTCCTCCCAATTCTCCTCCTCCTCCCCCACCCCCTCCGGTCCCCGCTCCTCCCGACACCGACGGACAATCAGCCACGCCATCGCACACCATGCCTGAACCGCAGATTTGGCCGTCGGGGCAGTGCACTTGGTTCGGATAGTTCGGGCAGGTGGCTTTGCTGTTGAAGTCCACGCAGAATCCCGGCCACTCATCGGCGCTGAAGGGGCAGTCGGTAGAACCGTCACATGCTGCAGCTGGGTGGATGCACCATAGCTTGGCAGATATGGTTGTGACTGGACAGGCAATCTGGTGGGTGTGGTGTTGGGGAGCAGGAAGAAGGAGAGAATTGAGTGAGAAGCGGGAGAGTGCGCCAGTGTACACTGTAGCGGTGTCGAATCACCAGCCGAAATGATTTTGACAGGCGGGATTCCGTGTGGATGCACCCCTACTTACTCCCCTCACTCCCTTACCATGTCAGGCGGACAGCCGTCCTTGTATCCCCCGCACTCCCACGGCAGCTCGTCGCTCTCATCATTCTCGTCGCTACCATCACTCCAATCACACGACAAGTCTGCAATCAATGTTTACCATGTCAGGCGGACAGCCGTCCTCGTACCCTCCGCACTCCCACGGCAGCTCGTCGCTCTCGTCGTTGCAATCCGCAGTTCCGTCGCACAGCTGGTCGCTGCTCACGCACTGGTCCCACGATGCACAGTACCACTGGCGGAGGGGGAGACACGGGGAAGAAAAGGGAGGGAAGAGCGGGGGAAGTGCAAGGTCAGGGTAGGGGGACAAGGCCGTCGCATAGCTGATCGCTGCTCACGCACTGATCCCCACGAGGCGCAGATGGGGGAGGGGGAGAAGCGAGATGGGGGAGAGGGAGGGCGGGTGAGAGAAATTGAGAGAAGGAATCGCACGTATGGACGGCGAAAATGAGACGGCAGGGATGACGCAAGACGGCAGGGGTGACGCGAGATGGCTGCGGGTGACGCGAGATGGCTGCGGGTGACTCGCCGAGTTGTCGTTCTGAGCGCACGAGACTGGGAGATGAGGACGAGAGAGAAGGAGAGGCAGTCGCATGTACTGTGGGCAAAAATAGACGGCAGATGATACGAGACGGCAGGGAGGACATGAGACGGCTGCGGGTGACTCACCGAGTTGTCGTTCTGAGCGCACGAGACTGGGAGGTCCTGCTGCTTCAGCCACGACAGCTGCGCGCACTGCCGTGGGGAGTAATACGTTATGCGGGGCAGGAGGGGAAGGAGGGAGCAGGGACAGGAGAGAGGAGAATCGTTACACACGCGGACGAGACTCGAATTCCTGCTACTGCGCGCACAGCCATAGCGTGTTAGAGGGCCCTACAACAGCAAGGGCCCTCGATGACCTTTGACTTGGCAGGTCGACGCCTAGCGACTGAGTCTACTCGGCACCGACGAATGAGTTCGATGGAGGTCGCATGAAGAAGTGAGAGTCCGTGGGAGTTGTTGGTGCTTCCTTGAGAGTCGCACCACTCTTTGCTAGGTTGGTGGAGTGGTGTGCACGGAAGCGAGAAGTCGATGCTGAGTTGGGTTGAGAAATTGGCGAGGCGCGTTCGCTCACCCACACACCACTTTCGTGGGGTTGGGTTACTCGCAGCGCCCACGCAACCTCTTGTGAAACCCTCGCCTGCCTATATATGTTTGTGTTGCTTGTGTGTTTGATATATTTTCTATGTTCCTAGTGAAGTCCAAAATGCTACTTCAATTCTCACCAAGTCCTTAGAGGCAAATGCTACCGAAACTCTACCAAGTTGCTGGCGCAACATCATTCCCATAGCAGAATCTCTCTCGTTATCGCTACGCTCTCTAATAGATTCCTTCATGGTGCGGTGAGCGTGGAACGAACACGCATAGATTTACGTCGTCGTTGATATTCGCGTTCGTATACTCGCCTTGGCGTGCGGCGTTAGTGAAGGGCGCTTATTAATCTAAGTTGAACCTCTCTTGATTTCCCTCCAGTTACGTTCTCGGACCCAAGGATAGGGCGTTTGGTAATTTATTACCACTCGTCTGAGGACCCTTGTGAGGTGACCCCGAGACGAGGGATTTAAGGAAGGGGCACTTTATTTTAATTTGTGGTACCTTATAGAGACGTCGTAGAGGATGAGTACTGAGGAGGCGAACGTGGAGGCCGGTAATTTGCGCACTCTAGAGGAGGATCTCGTGGCTCGTCATTCTCGTGGTGAGATTAGTGATATTGAATACGAGCTAATGTTGGAGGGATTGCGCTCGCGTCGGCGTCGTGAGCACCCTTCCCCACGTGTAGAGAATGTTGAGCAAGTTGCGGGAGGTACGAGTGCGTGGGATATGGCTGTCGATGGCGGAAATAGCGATGACGAGGAGTTTGATGGGTTGATGTCGCGTGGGGTCCTGCGAAGACCAACTCGGTTTAGTACGGCTAGCGTCGGCGGTGTACAGGAGCGTGTTCATCGTGCAGCAGCGTCACGAGAGCATGCGAATGTAGGACGGCGAAGCGTTGCTGGAGGAGGAATTGCGGAAGAGTTCGATAGTGAGACTATGCCGGGCGTTACCCCGATTGGATCGATGTCGAGGGACGAGGGAATAGCCCCCAACTATGGCTACTTCAGATTCACTCCAGACAAGATCGTTGTCACTAATCCGTTAGAAGGACGTCACGACCTGTCGACGTGGACAGAATCAATCGAGCCGCAGCTTGAGATCGCTCGGCTAAAGCGATTCATAGATGGCACCACCCCTATTCCACCAGCGCGTGCGCTTGCGCATCTCTCTCAGTTCCGCGCGATGCAGTTGCTGACATTCACCACTATTTCCCGATGCTGCTCCCCAACCGTACAAATCGCCCTTAAGGCGTGTCGCATGAAGGTTGATGCCGGCTATCAGGCATGGCAGTTTATTATGCGCACGTACATGGCGAAGGACGATCTGTACATCGGTCAGTTAGAGCAGGCGCTCACTAACCTCGAGATGGGAGAGCATGAGTCCGCTACGTCCTGTTGCAACCGTGCGCAGCAGATCCTAGTGAACCTGAGGATGGCCGGCGTAGATTACTCGCAGGCGTCGTACATCACTCACGTTGTGAAGGGGTTGCCGCAGCAGTACAACCTCTTACGCAGGATGCTGAAGTTGCCGCAGGTGCGCAAGGAGTTGGACGAGAACACCCTCGCTAGCTACATCATCGAGGAGGAATGTACGCTGGCGTCAGAGGGACGAAAGGACCAATTCCTTCCCCAGGCTAACCAGGTCTTTACCAAGAAGGGTAAGCCCCAATTCCAGCAAAATTCGTTCCCTTCCCCTCCCACTACGGCACAGCAGCAACAACCTAAGAATGGGGGTGGGCTTAGTGGGGGAGGGGAGAAGTGGAAAGGGGGTAAGGATGGCCAGCCGAAGGGGGGGAAAGGGGGCTTCAAAGGGAAGTGCTATGTGTGTGGACAAATAGGGCATGTTGCTAAGTACTGTCAGCAGCGGGCGGATAAGGAGGCAGACACCGGTGGAGAGGGTTCTGGAGGTAGCAGCGGAAAGGGGGGTGATGGCTCTAAGGGGAGCGGGCAATCATCATGTGCGATGGTGAAGCCCGTTGTGGAGCAGACTCCTCTCGTTGTGCTAGAGCCTGAGGGCGGGGAGGCCTTACAGGCTGTTGCAGCTGCTGTGAAGGCGAACCCGAGCGTCGTGCTGCTTGATAGCGGATGCTCCCACCATCTCATGGGAGATCGTTCTGCCTTTGTGGAGATGAGCAGCGGCGGCAGTATTAAACAGGTTACTGGCTTCAACGGCGCGCTTCAGGAGGTGCAGGGGCGGGGCACAGTCGCTCTTCTTGGAGAGGGGGGCAGGCGTGTCTTGGTGCCGGACGTGCTGTACGTACCAGGACTGCAGGCGAGTCTTCTCTCTGCTGGGCAGCTGCGTGAATGTGGTGTGCAGTTGCTGGATGCCGGGGATGTAACTTTGCTGCGGGCACCAGATGGATCGCTCCTTGGTCGTGCGGAGTTCAAGGGGCGTGTTCTCTGCACGAACTTCCAGCCGTGTTCGACGCAGCAGCAGGAAGGCGAAACGGTGGCACTTCGTACCTTGGCGACGGGCGTGCGGTCTAAGGGGGACCTGTGGCATGCGCGTATGGCACACGTTGGTATTGATGCCATCGAGCGCACAGCGGCTCACGGGTCAGTGAAGGGCTTGGATTTGGAGAAGGGGGGCAAGTCAGGCATACCTTGTGTTTCCTGTGTTGGGGGAAAGATCACTCGTCATACCTTTCCTTCTGTGGGAGAGGAGGAGGATGAGTTGCTCGGGGTGGTGCATGCTGACCTGTGTGGCCCTTTCCGTGAAGCAGCTAAGGACGGCAGCCGCTACTTCTTGGTGCTGAAGGATCGCAAGACGCGATATGTCTGGGTCTACCCTTTGGCCCAGAAGAGTGATGCGCTGGCGGCGTTCCAAAAGTGGCTCCCGATGGCAGAGCGACAGTGCAAGACCACAGTGCAGGCGCTGCGCACTGATCGGGGTGGCGAGTTCCTGGGGCACGACTTCACGCTCTTCCTCGACGGTAAAGGCATCATCCATGACCTCACATGCCCGTATACGCCAGAGCAGAACGGGATGGCCGAGAGGGAGATGCGCAGCATTGTGGAGGCGGTGCGGACGATGTTGCTGCACATGGGTGTGCAGCATCACTGGTGGCACCTGGCGTTGGCTCAGGCCGTCTGGGTGCGCAACCGCGTGGAGCACGCCTCACTACCCTCTGGTGTGACGCCGTACGAGCTCGCCTTCCGACGCAAACCTGATGTCAGTATGGTGCGTGTTTGGGGCTGCATGCTGCAGTACATGGTACCACGGTCGCAGCGTGGGGGGAAGCTGGCGCCTAAGGCTCGCTGGGGGTTGCACTTGGGTGTGTCAGCTGCGAGCAAAGGCTGGACCGTGCTGGACTTGGAGTCCAACCGCCTCATCACCACTGTGGAAGCTGTGTTCTATGAGACCATGTCCCTAGCAGGATGGAAAGCTTGGCATCAGCAGGAGCATGGGGGGCGTTCGATGCCCTATGAGCCCCTTCCCTCACTCTTCCCGATCACTCTCGAGGAGGCGGAGGAGGAGGAGGAGGTGGTCGCACCTCCTGCTATGCCCTATGTCCCTACCTCGGTCCCCACCCCACCTCCGCCTTCAGTCTACCCTCGTGTGATTCCCCCTGTCCCGCCTTCTTCCTCCTCACCCCCCTTGCCTTCCCCTCCTCCTCCTGTTATTCCATCCCCCCTTTCACCCTCCATCCCTCCTGCACCTGCTCCGCCCTCCTCTTCGTCTTCCACGGCGCCGCCCGTTGGTGGGGGGGGGATGGAGGTGCCACCGTCTGTGGAGATCACCGACGGGCAGCGCCTTGAGACTGAGCAGCTGCAGGACGAGAGCAGTATGGATGGAGTACAGCAGACAGGGGAGCCGCAGACAGGGGAGCAGGAGATGTGGGGAATTAGAGATGGTGGTCGTGTGTTGGTTTCTGGGACGACCACTGCACCAGTGCGTCGCTCCACTTGCATCACTCGTGGTGTCCCGCCTGTTCGATACGCTTGGGCTGTAGTGGTTGAGCCAGCGGACTTGGATGACGAGGAGGAGGACGAGGAGTGGACTGACCTGGACCCGGACGTTGCAGCTGATCCTGAGAGGCAGTGGGACATAGCGAAAATGACAGTGAAGGAGGCCTTGGGCTGCTGGAAGGGCGACAAGGTGAAGGAGGCGATGGATGAAGAGATGCGGAGCTTGATTGAGCAGGGGACGTGGGAGTTGGTTCCGCGTCCGCCAGGGGTGAATGTGATGAAGAACCGATGGATTTTGAACACCAAGTTCCGACCTGATGGGATAGTGGAGCGTGAGAAGGCGAGGCTGGTGGTGAAGGGGTTCACGCAGGTGGCAGGGGTGGACTATGAGGAGACGTACGCCCCTGTGGGAAGCTATGTGACGGCGCGTGTGCTTCTGGGGATTGCAGCTGCACTTGATTTGGACCTGATGCAGCTCGATGTAAAGAATGCGTTCCTCCATGGCGTGTTGGACCGAGACCTTTATATGGAGCAGCCGAGCTACTACGAGGATGGGACTCCTCGTGTCTGTAAGTTGGTGAAAAGTCTGTATGGGCTCAAGCAGAGCCCGATGCTATGGTATGAGGCCTTGGATGGGGTGCTGCTTGGGGCTGGATGGAAGAAGAGCAAGGTGGATGAGGCTCTGTACTTCAAAACTGATGCTGATGGGGAGATGTGCTGGCTGCTGGTGTATGTGGATGACCTACTTGCTGCCAGCCGCAGTCAGAGCATGCTTGGGGAGCTGCGTGAGCTGCTGCAGAGTGCGTTTCAGCTGCGGGAGATTAGCCCTGTGGAGAAATATCTGGGGTTGCAGCTGATTCGGGACAGGCCCACGAGAAGGCTGTGGCTGCACCAGGGGGCCTATGTGGACAAGGTCCATAGGCGCTTCTTTGACGGGGAGCAGCCGCTGCGAGTGCCTCGCACCCCTCTTTCCTCTGACCCTTTCAGTGTGCAGACCTTCGAGGATGTGGGATGGCAGTCTCGCCAGGAGGAGGAGTACAGGCAGAAGGTGGGATCCTTGCAGTTCGCGGCCTGTACCACCCGTCCCGACATCTCGTTCGCCTGCAGCAAGCTGGGGTCGGGCCAGACTGTGCGGAGTGATCAGCACTGGAAGGAGTTGGACCGGTGCTTGACGTACTTGGTGGGGAGCAGGGATGTGGCGCTGGAGTTTGGAGGTGGGTCGGAGTCCTTGGAGCTGGTGGGCTACGCCGATGCTGATGATGCAGGGGACAAGCAGAACAGGACCAGCACAGGTGGCTATGTCTTCGTGCTTGGGGGTGCTGCTGTCTCATGGG